CTGTTCTCTGATGAAATATGATAAATTTAGAAATTTTATCCTGCTCGTTATTCATCGATATTATATGTAGTCTGGTTAATCATCCAAAGCAAATATGTTCACTGATATATTATATTTTCGATATAATATATAGATCGACATCGAATTATTATTTGAGAATAATATAACAAATTATTGAAGGAAATGTCAATTTAGTGTTCGATAACTGTAATACTGACTGGAAGAAGAATTTTTTCAGTTCGAAAAGAATTTTACAGAAATTTTTTTTTGTGTTCTTGTCAAAATGATTGTAAAATATAAACATTCTTGGGTGTGGTGGATGGGTGTAGGTGTGAGTATCAAATCAAAATCACACTCTCTCACACCCACACCCTCGATTCTAGAGAAAATTATGGCAGAAAAATTGTTAAATTATTACTTGCGACAGCTTTCGTTTGTTTAGGCTTACTCGACGTAGCATTTAATTTAATAAAGCAACTTCCAGAAACTGTAACTAACTTAGCTGATGGATTACTATCGATATGCGGTATGAAGCGTCTTCAATCTCTAACAGACATACAATATATTTTGGATCATGGTTTAACACTTGAATTAACGGATGGGCCGAAAGTTTTGAGACAAAATGTTTGTCCATTTTTCACCATCTCGAAAGCATTCTAGATAAATGCAAAAAGATGGATAAGGATCAAAATGTAATGCTCTTTCCAAATATGAGTTCAGAAATTTTGTATCTATTTTTGCTTCGAAGCAGTGAGAGAATCATTGAATTGCTTTAAAAGATAGTTTGGACAAAAATATTTTTTGTACATTTTTGTATTTTTCATTGTTTCAATTCGAAACTCAATGTTGTAACTTTGGTTCATATATCAGATTGTAGAGCAAATTCTGCCCTACAAAATGCGCTATTTTAGTTTCTTTTTATTTTCTTACCAGACATCTAAATTTTCAGTTTCCACTTACCCTCGTTTTTGAAGAATTGACTTTGTAACCAAAATCCATCTCAGGTAGAATTTTTGTAGAGGACTGTCTGTTCTACAAAACTAACATATTAAACCGTTTTTAGCATCTTCACACAGAACTCACGGGAGAAGAAAATGCCGATGTGTTCATTAACCAATCCAATTTTCGGAAAGAGCATTAAATTCTGATCCTTATCCACCTTTTCACATTTATCTTGAAGACTTTCGAGGTAGTGAAAAATAGACAAACATTTTGTCTCAAAACTTTCGATCCACCCGTTACCTTATGAACTGTCAGAATGTGCTGATCAAAATGAAAAAAAATCATGTTAAGCCACAACTAATTCAACAAAAATTACCCATATTTATAATTCGTCATGGCTATAATTGTTATGAGATGCGTTCTTGGCGAATTCAAGAGCAAACAATTTTGGATGAATTAAAAAAATGGATGAGCCGTTTACCAGTGGCAGATGTGCATGTTGATCAGCAGGAGAATACTTAATTGCTTTCAATTGTCAAGAACTTTATACGTAACTTTTTTTTCTTTCTTATATGAGTGAAAAAACAAATTCAGAACCATTCATTAATTGAATTTTGTCGTACCGTATAACTCATATACGTAGACGGGTATATGGCGTCTGTGCACGGTGTAGGAGTGCTGGTGGCAATAACATCCATTCTTTTAATAAGAAATATATTTGAGCTGTGAAACTTGAAATTCGATTTTGAGGGAACTTCTTTGATCATGACTAAAGATAGATAATTGACAAACTGAGATTGAATTCGAAGGATGTAGGTATGATGTGAGTGTGGGTGAGAAGAAGACGTACGCCCACAACCACACCTACATCCATACGCTCACACTTTACTAAGGATGGAACAAATTCTTGCAATTTTTGTTATGTTGTTTGTTGGTACAGTTCATGATGAGTACAAATGAAGTTTTATCGAAGTACAGAGATGAAAGTAATACATTTCTGTTCACTTCACCATTATTGTATGCGTAGCAGGACTCGGGGAAGGGGACGCAACCGGCATCTCCTGTAAGCTCGGCCTTGCCCCCTGTCGCCATTTGAAATCGCCTCTCCAAAGGAAAAATGCTGGATAAAATATTACACTTCGTAATAAAAATTACTTTTTCAGTTATATCAATTATACTGCATGAGCAAAGTAATTGATATAGGTATTTCAGGAGCACTCGTGCTCTTACATCGCTACATGAGCGATCGTAATCGCATTTTCTACACAACCAATAGCGATGAAATCGGTATGATGGACATCGGTGCTCAAATCGGTGATTACTTCTAGGAGAGCATGGCTTGCAAAATACATAATTCACCCGTTTCTGGGACAACGGCTCTGTATCGTTACCTTGGTTTCTGAGCTGCTCATTTCTACACAACACACTGGGAAGAAGTCGGAGTGTGCACACCAGCCTCACTGGTCAGATCTTGGACTTTGGCAGGGATTGCCTGTACGTATATATTCATCAGCAACCGGGTACTGCGCCTCTCAAACGCTATTTCAAATGGGGTCCAAGACATTCCTATACGACTGATCCGAATGAGATTGGCAGAGTAACACGTGGTATGTACGGCAACTACGGATACCAGTATGAGGAAGTGGCTAGCTATGTGGTACCAGTAGATGAGCATGGGTCGCTGCTCTTGGGAGGACACTTTGCGTCTCTACACCGTGACTCCGATATAAAGGGTTTGTGACACGTGCAAAACACTTAGAGCGGGCATGATGGACGTACTAATAGTGATAGCGCGCTGAATAAAAATCAATCGTTCCGAAATTGCGTATTGCTGCACCATAGATTGATCTTTGAATCTTTGATGATGTGTGTATTACATAAATGCTACCCAAACTCATTGAGAGGTCTGAAACTTGGGTAAGCTGTTGAATAAAATATCTCACAACAAATTTGTAGTTTATTTTCCACTTTGAGAAGTGGTCAGTATCGNGTCAGAGATTTGTTTTACGGCTTATAAATAAATGTAATAGAATATTTGTTCGGGTAGAGTATCTGATGACGCATGACTATAACAAATGTAATTATTAATTAGGGAAAAGTGGCGAGATGATAAGAAGAAGAGAACAGGTAAGAGAGGAATACAAAAAGGAAAAAAAGGCAAGAAAAGAAGAAAAAGAGAAAGTCAGAGAAATGTAATCAGAGAGAAGGAAAAATGAAACAAATGTAGCAGCAGAGTATTTGAAGTGTGGCATGAAAAGAAAAAAGAAAGACGAACAGAAGAGACAAAGTAAAGCCATCGCAAAAAATCATTTTTCTTCAGTCTTGTGGGTGCCATTCTTTATTTTATATTGATCTATGAGTGAGAGTCACGCCAACATATGTCACTGATGCTTCTGTTTTATTCGCCTCACAGATCAACGATGAATAAGATATCTTATTCCTTGCTATTTTATACTTCGAAACGGCGTTTTACTAAAGCAAACAATAGTTTTAGACAATATAAACTGTTTTAAACGTCAAAATGTGCTGTTTCTTGAACTACCTAGATAGTAGACTGCGTTTACAAAAGCTAACTTATTTAGGAGGCAATATGCCATTAGATTTTAACCACTTTTGTACTTTATCCAACAAGATTTTCTCATAGAATCTAGAGTATATTTCTACGAAGGAAATGGATTTGAGTGTGTTTCGCGCTTTGACACTTCTCCTCCCATTTTGTTTCAGTTGATAATTTTAGTCATTCTTCGATCTTTGATGAATTGACTATTATTCAAGCATTCGTGTGAGCATTTGCGCAGGCAATGGACGAAAATTGGAAGTGATTCTTCAATTATAAAGTTCCAGCTGTTATACCCTCCGGTAGGCTTTTTTGCGTTTAAGTTCATGAATGAAACATTGTATTTCACAAATATTTTCAGATCTTATTTTCTGATCACACAGGAACCATGTTGTCGAGATCTCGCTGTAGTTTACGACGATTTGAGCATCATGTGTAACAAGATTGCTCAGAGTCCGTAGTGAAAACATTTTTTTCTACTCATCTTCTTCTAGTACTAGTGCTTATGAAGTTAAGTGAGTACTTTTGACAGCTAATTATTGAAGAGTATGGAGACATAAGTCCTACGCATGAGAGATTCTTCCAAAAAATAGTTTGTCTCGTCTAGCAATATTGTCTTTGTTGTTGCGTGGTCCCAATTCATAGCCACTTCCACTTTATCCCATACACTGTAAGCCAATGCATATAAATCAGGTGAATTGGGTGACGAACAACATTTCGAAATGAACATAAGAAGATGATCAGCATACTGTTCTTACATTCAGTTACTGCGTGCAATATCTGAATATTTGATACATCATTCTGCTGAAATTTATCGTTCGAGCTTAATTTTTTTCTTTTGTAAACATACGCGATGATTCGTTCTTTGATCTGTCTGTTTGAAAAACAGACAAGGTATTAATGTACTACTGCCTTTACGTTCATGCATGATTAAACTCTTAAGAGACCATTAGAAATCGATATTATCAGCGTTGTAGATCATTTTTATGCCTACTTTATGTTGAAATCACTTCGACTAAATCACGATTATTTTTCGCCTATACATTTACCATTTTCATATTTATTTTTGACACAGTTGTTTATATCTCTTTATTTTAAAACAATCGATTTACTTCAATTTATCTTAAGGAACTTGATTCAAGTAGTCGATAAAGTATTTGCTTGTGATGCATCTGCACAATTTCAGATATACATACCTATTTTAGGTCTTCTCAAAAATATCTTAGCGACAAATCATATAGGTTTTCTATCCGATATTCAATCATTCGAAAGTTATTTTCATCAATCAACGATGTCCATCAAACATGTGAACATTATTTTATATTCAATTACTTCGATATTTTCGACAATTCAGATCTGTATTTCTATTTATCTTTTAACGTTCATAATTTTACATCAATCAGCAATCAAAAGAAAACGTGTGGATTATTTATTTCTTGCAAATATTTATATCATTTTACTCTGTATTAGCTGTTTTCTTCTGGATATGTGTATTTATTATATGTATGGATATTCACATCCAGACAAGTCATTTAATAATTGGTGGTGTCGAATAAAAGCTTATTTGATGTACATTTGTGGTTATACATTTTTTCATTCATTCTCACTCCAGGCTATTTATAGAATATGTCGAATCATATATCCAGCACAAACCAAATGTCAACCTTTTAGTTCTTATATTATCGTTTCATTTGGTCAATGGATTTTTTCAGCTTTAGAATTGCTACCAAGTTTGCTTATCGGTGATATGGAATACATGCATAATGATTATCATTGTCAAGTTGCACCAAGCAGTATGCGTGGATCATTAACTGTTTGTGTACTTGGTTTTCTTTTTCCATTTATTATTATAACATGCAGCTATACATATACTATATATTATGTTCGACAACATAACTCAACAATCGTAACAATTAATCGACGAACAAGTATGCGTCGTGATATGATTATCTTAAAACGTGTACTTATAATTCTTGTACTCTTGACATCTTCTGCTGCACCACATGCATTTTTTCCAGTAGCTTACCGGATTCTTGGAAGTCTTCCAACATGGTTAGTTGCTTTGGAATGGCTTCTCACCATTCTCGCACTTATTTCTATTGCAATTATATTTCCATTGGTATCTCCTCATCTGAAGCAATTGTACACTCACATGTATCGACATGTGAACAGTATCGCTTGAGCGCAAACAACTTACTATTTTAATAATGAATGAATTATTGAAAACATTCAAAAAGACCTGTCTCGACATATACTTAAATATACGTATATATATGAGAACGTCCAGTGAGGGATACTCCAGTTTGCTTTCTTTCTGTTATCAGTTAAAAAGTTCAACCATATTCGGGCCAAATGATCACCCTCATCGCTAAACTGCTAAATTTAAAATATTAGTTGCTGATGGTTGTCCTTAATGAAATTATTTAGTTCCTTAAAAACCACAGGATACAATTTCAGGGTATTTAAATTTTCTTTCGAAAGGAACATCCGTTTGACCTGAAATTTTCAGCAATTATAAAGCATATCATCACTGGTCATGTCTGTAAGTCTCAGCTTTGTTACTTAATTTTTCGGTTTGTTTTGAAGTCCAACTAGGTAAAGTGTTCCTACTACCCATAAGTGTTACACGGCTCTTTTTCTAGTTAGACTTCAAAACAAATGAAAAATTAAGTAACAAAGCTGAGACTTACAGAAGTGACTAATGATGATACGATTTATAACTGATGAAAGTTTCAGATCGCACGGATCTTCCTTTCGAAAGAAACTAAATACCCCGAAATCGTATCCTGTCTTTTTTAAGGGACTAAATAATTTCGTTGAGGACAACTATTAGAAGCTAACATTTTAAATTTAACAGTTTAGCGATGAGAGTGATAATTTGACCCGAATATGGTTGGGCTTTTTAACTGATAATAGCAAGAAAGCGAATTGGGGTGTTTCTCAATGGACGGTCTCATATATATCTCATTCGTACCACAAATTAATAAACAGCACTCGATAATATGAAAAACGAAAAAATCTAAAAACAACAGTGGAATAATCCGAAAATATAATATGTTATATGAATCGTTGCTTGCCATTGAAGAACTTTCTTTGATCCTACAATAAATATTACAAGAGTTAGTGTTGTAATTCATCACGTAGATTAGTTTTGGATATTTTATGTCAAGTCGATGGATAGAAAGAGATTTTGACAGTCGATAAAACGTATCGGTTATCCACGAAGATATTTGTTATTAAACTATAAATTGTGAAAGTGATATAAAAATATTGAAACCAAATGATTTGTCTTTGCTTCTACGTACACATTTACAGAAGATGGACATATTTCATAACTTTTAACATTTTTATTTTGATTAAATTCGAAAAAATTGTTGAAATTTGCAAAAGAAAGAAATCTATCACTTGTTTAGGACAAGATTTTACTTTGATTTTGAAGTTCTAATTAGACGTGCCATCATGAGAAACGATCAAAACTAATAATAATGAATGTGGAAACTTCGGCTTTCAATCCAAGTGTTACGTGTACTTCAAAACGTACA